CAACAATGGAACACCTGAACTTCATGCCAGGTACATGAGCATTTAATCTTCTATACATTTTTTTTTTTTTACTTTCTTTCTTTTTTTTTTAATGAATTCTGCATAATCTATAATCTGGTACACACCAACAAATGACATAGTTTCTCGTTCATTAGGTGATGTTTCTGTGTAATCTATTGAAAGAAAACTTTGAAATTATTTTACAATGATCCTGTGCTACTGCAAGACAGACATTTACTTTTGCTCTTTCTTCAAGTTCCATTGGTATGGCAAAAGCTGCATTGGAGGCCATCAATGGATGCAATCTCTTTGGGGAGAAAGGTGCATCTTGGTCCGTCATCTTTGTTGACATTGATGCACATAACCGCAACCGCAGCATCTTTGAAACACTGTTACCAAAAGAATCCAGTTCTAAGGTATGAGAGGTGAAAGAGCTATTTTGATAATAAAACAAAGTGAACTAATGTTGAAGGCTATTTTAATCATTATTGTGTTAAAAAAAAAGAAGTAAAGTTTTAGGCATGACCTGCAACTGCTGTTTGCTATTTTCAGTAGTTTATCTAAAAAGGTTAAGAAATTTAAAATGTTATTTATAGTTTTTATATTACATGTATATACAAGGGTACATTTTCTACTTTTCAGAGTGTTGATTCTAGTCTTCTTTGCACTATATCATTTCCTGCTTTTGCTACCCATGATCAGATGTTATATACTACTACCAGAAGTCAGGTAATACAAGATTTTTATTTTCTCATTGCCCTTGAGTGAAAGTAACCTAGTCAGTTGTGCACATATTTTGAATGACTTTTGAAGTAATAGTCAATTTGGCTTGCATGTTATCAGAAAGATTGTCCCCTATTTCCAGATACTTAATACTCTCCAAGGTGCTTATGGCTTCAAAAGGTTCCAGCGTGATGGGTACGGCACAGTTGTAGAAGATAAGGAAAGGAGGTACTACCATGCCTCAGAAACAAAGGTAAAGTATTATAATCAGTATTTAGATTGGTACAAATTATTTCAGCAGTTGTTTGGTCGTTTGTTGAACCCATTTTGTCTTTATTAAAGATTTCCCTATTCTTTTGACACATGTATTTTTTTCTTTTTTTCTTTTTTTTTAGGAATTTGAAAATATTGAGTGTGAGTGGCCTCTCTTCTACTTGTTCATGATCCTTGAAGGCATGTTTAAAGACTGCCAAGAGCAAGTGGAGCAATATAAGGCAAAACTGAGTCCATTGCTCAAGAAAGATAGATGGGGAGGTAAGGTCTACTACTTCCTTTTTCACTCCTTTTCCCTTTGAGGATGTAGGTATTGCAGAATAAGATCATGATTTTCCATTATTCAGTTTATGTTATTTTTCTAAATATATTATGTATAGACAGTTATTCTACAAATCACCTTGCATTTTTCGTGCAGCCCTTATCAGCTGTACTTGCAGATTTTCTCTTGCATGACTGGGAAAAGCAAGTCCTTATTATTTAGATTTTTTCATAATTCATGTTTATTTATCTCCAATATGTAAATCCTCAACTTCATAGAAGAATAAACTTAGCTAAGTAGCCTTGTACTCCAGCAAAGTGGAAGGGATGATTAGCTTTTGAGATGCACTAAGGAATTGAGTAGTTTTGTTATTAAATGTTAACTACTTCCCTTCAACCCATTCCACCAATACAGCATATGTACAAGACTGCGTATCTTAGTTTGATTAGCTTTTCTGGATTTTTGATTCATTAAATCTTTTCCAGATGCTGTAGTGCCAAAGTACTACTTCATACATAAGAACCATGTAAATGCAGAAAGACGTGATCCAGGATCTCAGGTGCGTATTTGGTTTATATATACATGTATTTATTATTATTATTGTTGTTGTTTTTCATTATTAATATTATTACTATTATTATTATTATTATTATTATTATTATTATTGTTATTATTATTATTATTACAAAATGTATTTTAGTTTCTATCATCTTTCTCCCTAATGTTTTTTTTTTTTTTTTTGTGTGTGTGTGTGTGTGTGTGTGTGTGTGTGTGTGTGTGTGTGTGTGTGTGTGTGTGTGTTTGTGTGTTCATAGAGCATTACCATAGTACCTCACCATAATTCTGAAGATATGGTATCATATCAAATTACAGAATTATTATTTCTCACTCATAACATACTTCAACTTTATTTTACAAACAGCCTCGGCAACCCAGCTCAGAGGGCACTCCTAGGAACCTCTTCCTGTGGGGTCAGAGTGTTTGGATAATAGCCTCTTTGTTGATGGATAAACTCCTGCACATCAATGAACTAGACTTAATCCGACGCTATTTGCCTTCTTATAACCGTCCTCGTAAAGGCGGGCGCTATTCAGCATTCCAGGTAAAGTTTGTGATTGTTCGTTTTCCTTTTTTTTTTTTTTTTCTATATTTCAAATGGTTGAAAATGAATAGCAGCTGGAAGGACACCGTGACTAGCAAGAGCAATTATCACCACTTAACTAGTCATGTGAGTGGGCTTTTATTTGCCATAAATCCAGCTTTCCAGTTTAAAGTTCTGTATAATGTGCTCATAGTTATGGTGGCTTTTCTTTTCTTTATTTCTTTTTACTCTTCTGCTTCAATTCTGTTGGTGGTATGGGGTGGTATATATGCTGTTACTTTAATTTCTATATTACATATTATTTTGTTTGTTATTTTAATTTATTTCTAGTATATAAAGGCTGCAGCAAATTTATGATGAATAGATTGATTATGAATATGAAGAACAAAATAATTATATTTTTTGTTTCTAAACTATACATTTATATATAATTCAAACTGGTTTCCATTTCCATGTTCATTTTTTTCTTCTTTTTTCTTTTTGGGAATAACTTATTTTTTGAAAGAGCATCACTGATCATGTGTAGTTCCTACATACAAAGTAATAAGCAGCTCTTGTTGAAGATACCTAAACGTATGTGTGCATATATATATATATATATATATATATATATATAT